GATCTAAACCAGACCCTCCTTAGAGTGTCAACTAGGTAGAACTATTTTTGAAAATTGAAAAAGACAGTATATTACATGGTTGGTCAAACACAAGAAAAGTTTTAAATGAGCTCATTTTGAAAAAGGACTGAATAAGACAGCACTTTTCAACACCGTTAGGGCACGAGTACACCCTGCTGTCAGGGTCTAGTATTTGTAATATTCTAGGATGATAGCATGGGACTTCCGAAGTCACGATGGTCTACCATCCATAGAGATGCCCTGATCGAGGCAATAAGAAATTGTGGAATCTCCTTTTCCATCTGGGAGAACAAGGAGGGGAAGCTAGAGTGGACCTCTATGATGGGAAATGAGAAGAAACGCCTACTAAAGCTGTTGCCAGAAAAAATGGAAAAATTTGTGCCGCCTCTTACCCTTGAAGCTACAAGATCAATATGGATTGTATGTATGGTTATAATGATATGATTGATTATATATTATGATTAATATTGTATATATGAATTTATCAACATACAGCTGAGTTTTTAACTTTAATGTATCATATTTTTTTATAAGGAGTTTGGAAAGCTTTATGCCATCAGCAGCAGCAAGAACCTGAAAGAGGAGGAAATAGAATCATTTCATGAAAAGGTATAATATAAATACTTTATTTTGTCAATGTCATGAATATTATAATTATATCCTCTTTATTTCATCTTTTCAGGCTAAACAGTGGGGACAAATGATTTGTGACTTGCCAGCGACCGTTTATCACAAGACGTGCCCAATCACCCCTTACATGCACGTCTTAATTTACCATGTTCCACACCTATTGAGGATAAAAGGATCAATGAAGTTGTTTACTGGACAAGGTAAATACATTAATACTTTGCTTGAAACTGTTTTGTATTTCATAGTGTTTTCGGGTAAATGAAATTCTATTAATTTTTCTTTTTACTCAAGCATTTTTGCAAATTGTATTTCTATATGTATACCTTATTTTTTGTAGKAGTGGAAAAAAAGAATGATGATTTCCGAAGGATTTTTCATCGATCCATCAACAAATGGGATGCCTGCAAGTCAATGTTACTCGTAGAGAAGAGGGGACTAGTCCTGCGGAACCTGGAGCGTGAAAAGAGAAGATACACCAAGAGAGCGCACAACTTCTGGTTTCAAGGAGGGAAGGAGGCAGTGGCAAAGAAAATTCCCAGAATGAGCCTTCAAAAAGACCTTACATCAACAAGTCCACAGTTAACATACAGACAGCTATCAAAGAAAACTGTTACACAGCTAAAAGAACTGGCAGCTGMACTTCACCTCGCCATCACTGCCAAAAAAACAAGAAAACAAGACTTGGTGGATGCAATCCTGAGTGCTTACTCAGATTAAAACAAACAAAAAACAAAACAAAAAAACCCGGCTCTTTTCAGAGCCACCAAATGCTTAAAAGTCAATGTCTTAATTTAATGCAAATAAAGTGATTGTTATATGTATAAATTRACTCTGGTATAAAGTATGTTTACTGCCTAACTGTTATATACTAAAGAACACTGGTTGTTAAGTAMAGTTTTGAAATAAGCGAATATTTTGCTGTTTGATACAACAACCGGTACATTTCCGGTGCCCTTCACAAGTTTCTAGCCGTTCCCTGGTGTCTGCGTTCAATGCGAGAATTTTAGTGCGACGATCACATGACCAAATGCGCAAAGTTCCAAGTTTACTGGAAAGGAGCGGTTTCCGGTACCATCGAAATGCAGTGACCTGACAGCTCACGACGGTACCATTCGAGCTAAGAGCTTTGAAAGGTGAGGAAAACAGCGCAATTCAAACATCTGGAAAATGTTCTTTTTAACTGATATTTCTTTTTTGCTGAAATATATATCTTGTAGATACTACATCTTACTCAATACCAAGTCGAATATTACTTATGGAAAGTGACGACTCCGGGCTTGGCCGCGAGGAGCTTCAAGTAATAGAGTAAGTCATCTGTCA